ACCCACAACAGTCGACTGATTCCTATTTAATAATAATAATAATAATAATAATAATAATATTATTATTATTATTATTATTATTATTATTATTATTATTATTTTTACAAGAAACGTAAGATGATAGTTTTTATATAAGCTCACAGTAGTTTCTACATTCCTTGCAGACTTGATTTAGCAAGTATATATTTAAACCTTATACATAATCTTCAGTTCAGTAGTATTTAACCTGACTTAATGAAGAAAAAAGTGACTATATATATATATTATATATATATATATATATATATATATATATATATATATATATATATATCTTTCTTTCAACACACCGGCCGTATCCCACCGAGGCGGGGTGGCCCAAAAGGAAAAACGAAAGTTTCTCCTTTTACATTTAGTAATATATACAGGAGAAGAGGTTACTAGCCCCTTGCTCCCGGCATTTTAGTCGCCTCTTACAACACGCATGGCTTACGGAGGAAGAATTCTGTTCCACTTCCCCATGGAGATAAGAGGAAATAAACAAGAATAAGAACTAGAAAGAAAATAGAAGAAAACCCAGAGGGGTGTGTATATATGTGCTTGTACATGTATGTGTAGTGGGACCTAAGTGTAAGTAGAAGTAGCAAGACGTACCTGAAAACTTGCATGTTCATGAGACAGAAAAAAGGACACCAGCAATCCTACCATCATGTAAAACAATTACAGGCTTTCGTTTTACACTCACTTGGCAGGACGGTAGTACCTCCCTGGGCGGTTGCTGTCTACCAACCTACTACCTAGATATATATTATATATATATATATATATATATATATATATATATATATATATATATATATATATATATATATAATATATATATAATATATATATGCAACGCTATTCTTGCCGAATAAGGTAAGCGAAAATTTGTGTAAGCAACAATTTCGCAAAAAATAATTCTGAACCTAACGGAAAAAATATACTTAATTGTATTTGTTTATTAAATTATTGTAAACTTATCTAAAATATATTTACTTGGATTAGGCTAAATTAACTTGCAATTGTTATAATAGGGTTAGGTAAGCTTACTAAGGCTCTTTTGGTGCTAAATTATTAATTTTTACATTAACATAAATGAAAAAAATATATCTTTAATTTTTTAAGATAAAATTTTAGAAAGGACTTAATTTTAAACGAGTTCTTGCTAATTGACTAATTTTACCTATTCGGCACGACATATATATATGGGATGCATTTCTTTTATCTCCATGTGAAGAGGATCTCACAGGAGGGATTAGGGAAGAAGGAAGGGAAGAAGAGAGGGAGAGAGGAAGGGAGGAAGGGAGGGAGGTATGAAGGGATGAAGGGAGGGAGGAAGGGAGGGAGAGAGGAAGGAAGGAAGGGAAAATAAAAAAAACAATAAGGTTCATAACTCAAACAATCGTCTATTTCCATCTTTATTTTTGAGACACCATTACAAAATTACCTTGAAACAACAGACCAGAAACAGTCTTTGGATGTGAAGAAATTACCTCTAATAAATCTGGGTGACCTTTTTTTTCCATAAGAGCTCTTTTTATAAATTCTTTTTTCTCAAAAAAAGGCAATTTCTAAAAAGGCGAATATACATATCTAGGTAAATACAAAGTATGAGGAAAGATGCCATACTTTAATATTATTATCACAATGTATACCATCAAACAGTCGCTGCTGAACAAGAAAACCGATTCGGAACGTCATTTAACGAACGAATTTTACGAACAGGATGAAGAGGATTGTTAGTATTGATGTATATATATAAATTACGTGGGTATGGGAGAGTGTAAGTGGCGAGTGTAAACAACGACCGTCCAGTGGTAGAGGCAGCGAGCACACACCTGTAGAAAAACACATATGACAACTCTTCACCACGTTTCGCTCAAGGAGAGCTTTGTAATGCTTCACTCGAGAAAGAAGAGCTACGCAGTATCACTACTACTGTCACTGAGGGAGAGTGAAGGAAGGAACGAGGGATGAGAGAGGTAGAGAAGGCCAAATGAAGGAATTAAGAGTGATATATTTATAGGTTTAAATCAAAATTTGATGTTAGTAATGCTTCACTGAAGGAGATATTAAGTCATAACTTGATAAAGCTCTCCTTAAGTGAAACGTGGTTATTGTAGACTTAAGTTGTTTTATGTGTCTTTACAATTTGCTCACAAACTTAAGCTGAGACTTGACTACGTTTGGGTTCGTCCTAAACCGCTGTCAAGTTGTGACAACACAAGGGCTCAGGACAGACCGAAACGTCGTTTAGTTTCGCCTTTAATTTCTAAGGTTGTGAATAAATACATATTGAAATAAACTGTTCTTCTCACAGCAGTTACTGACGCCCACAGATACCAGAATCCACTGCTGGTGTCTGTGGGTGTGCCACTGACGTGTTTACAAAGCCACTTGAGAACGTCGTATATAAACCATCAAACTTAAACACACACGCTTCATAAACATTACTTAAGATATAAAACAGTAGAACTAATACATGAACTAGTGTGAGCACAGTGCGTAGGAGCGAGTAGCAATGTAATCCTACATGGTTCTACAAATCAGTAATTTAATTCGTAGTCTACCTATACACGTAACAAGATTACATTGACGAAGGCGTAATAAAGAGCCACACATGATATACCAGAAGGGAATCCAACGTTTAGATACCAGAGAGCTGGTTCCCACAGACAGCATAATAATACAAACAGGAAATGCGATTTAAGGTGTCAGAATGTACGCTAAACTTGTCTCTCACACTGAGCAGGGAAGCAGAATATATTAACGTCTAGAATTAATAAATTCCATGTCTGCAGTGGCATACCTTAAGGCCTGTACACCTAATGTCAAATATAATGAACCAGTAAGCCGATGGAAGGCCTCGGTCAAATGGGCGACAGCTTCACGGAGCTGGCCGTTGTATGACTTAACTCCGGCGTCACGAGAAATGCTCACATTTCTCCTGACAAACAGAATACGACCACCATTAAATAATATGATACCATTATTTATATTAAACAAATGCACACTGTATAAACCACTAGAGTAATATAGACAATAAATGTGCAGGTATACTGAGGTACTTGCCCAAGTAGCCACAAACTGAGATTTTGGGGTCTGAAATATATCCATATGGATCTCATACTACAACTATTATACAAAAAAATTTACGGCCGAACATTTGAGCCCAACGGGATCTTGTGTGCCTCGGTCAATGAGGGAGTAACGGGATCTTGTGTGCTTCGGTCAATGAGGGAGTAACCGGGCTCTTGTGTGCCTCGGTCAATGAGGGAGTAACCGGGATCTTGTGTGCTTCGGTCAATGAGGGAGTAACCGGGATCTTATGTGCTTCGGTCAATGAGGGAGTAACCGGGTTTCCAGAGGTCGACCGAGATCGTCGTAGTTAAAATGTATAAGATCATAACATTCAAAATTGGAAATTATCAGTTGCATAATGTTAATGTGCTGTCACATATTAGTTTACAAGTATTAGTAATAAGTATTTGTGTGTGACCTGTATTGGATATCATGTTAGAGTCTGTGGCATTGTTATGTATTCACTAGTGTTGTAACTTCTCACGCAATTCTACAAGTTACCACAAGCATCACAGCAATACCCAATCTTCAACACTACCGTAGAAAAAATCTCCTTACTACTACTTGCACAGCGAATATAAATCTAAAAGTCTTTTATAAACCTTGTCTCTGAGTTACACAGGTGAACAGAGCGGGCGAACAGCCCTGTGGTTATACATGACATCAGTAATACGTAAGTTAACATACACTAAGATTATTCATGAATGGCACCTATTTTCGGGCTTCCAGAAAAAAAGAGGCTATAATATCTACACTATCAGTATCCATTGTCTTTTATCTTTTGTATCTTAAAGTTTACAGTTAATCAGTTTACAGTAATAACATCAAGAACGGAGGTACAGTGTGAAACTAAGACAGTTTTTTTTTACATAAAAATATAACATTTTGATAAATGTTTTGATACACACACTTGTGACTCGGCGAGTAGGAAAAGCGGCTTCCTTAACAAAACCTAGTCAGCTGATTACATGTTAACTAGAGCACGTGGTTATGTTTACATAACATTTGACAGCTGATTCAACGTGACAGAAGCACGTGCCTTTGTTACCATAACATTAATCAGCTGATTTATAACTAATTTCTTCTTATTATTATTATTAGTATTATTAATAGTAGTGGTAACAGTAATTGTAGCAGTAGTAGTAGAATTAATTGGTAGTAGCATCGGAATAATAGTGACAGTAGTAGTGGTGGTGGTGGTGGTGGTAGTAGTAGTAGTAGTAGTAGTAGTAGTAGTAGTAGTAGTAGTAGTAGTAGGAGGAGGAGGAGGAGGAAGTGGAGCAGGAGAAGCAGAAGTAGAAGTATTTATATAGTCACTTTCCTCACCTGCTCGCCTTCACAGGTGTGAAACTCACAAACCTCGGAACAAACAATTTGATACTGACATTTAGGCTAACATGAACTACTGATATTGTGATGGTCGTAGGTCAAGTATACAAATTCTGGCATGTGCTGCTGCTTGCTATCAGTAACACATATGTAACTTCATATCTAAACATTCACAGCCTTGAGGCTAAACATTTGTAGACTCGAGGCTAAATTCTGTAGACTCAAAGCTACTACACTCCTGCCGATACCACAGTAAAGTTTACTCAGGGATGAGTTTTGTCTGGAGAGGAGTGAGTGATGAGTTGTCTGGGGAAGAGTGGAAGGTTGATGAGTATACTCAGTGTATGATGACATCACACTCACATAGAATTAAATATGACATAAACTATATATATATATATATATATATTATATATATATTTATAATTATATATATATATATATATATATATATATATATATATATATAATATAAATATATATATAATTATAATATATATATATATTATATATATATATATATATATATATATATATTATATATATATATATATATATATATATATATATATATATATATATAAAATGTGTGTGTGAGATCTTTTTAGTCATAGTTACATTAACCTAAAACACAATGTCTTTTACGCTTGTCATTCACTACACATTACATATGGTTCATACATCTGGCTTATGCTAGAACTAATCATCAGCAGGTCACTAGAAAATCTACGGAGTACTAACTCGTAACACTAAAAACCTCACTTCCAAGATGAAGTTTTGTGCAAGCAATGTCTGTTATTGTCTGATGCGAGGCCAGTGGGAGGGCGGAGGGAGAACAAGGAGACTGAACACCACACAGTTCACCGGCACATGAAGAACAGCACGTGGAACAAGGAGGCAGAACACCACAAAGTTCATCAGCACACGAAGAACAGCAAGTGGAACCAGATATGCAAGTACAAGTGGGCCAAATCTGGAATGTTTTCGAGGTCCGAGAATATTCTTTTAGAACTGAAATGAATTTCAAAACAACTGTTTTAATGAGTCACTGTACATTAGCATTAAATTCGCAAAGAACCAATTAGACTTCACCCAGACACTCCAGACTTGACCTAAAGCAGCACAGATGAACCCTTGAAGACAAGAACTGCATCAACCACTACTGTCTCCAGTCTACATAAACCTAAAGCCATACTACTGTGTCCCTACTGACTCCACATGGTTAATCTGTCAATGAGGTTAATCTATTAGACATCACTGGCCTACTAAAGTCTTGTATTTCCTTAGGCTGCGGCGCCAAACTATATAAATATCGTTGGCTGTCTACAAATTTCTCTACCATTACTCTATTTGACTTTTATTATCTTCGTTGTCTTTGTCTTTTATTTAGTGAAAAATAGAAGAATATCAAGAATCCTATCTTAGAATAACCAAGACTTAATCTTACAGCAAGTGAAGATACCAGCTGCAACATTTCTCAGCACCTCCAGGCAGTAAGTGTTTCTCAGCACTTTCAAATTCTTAACTTCAATATTTATCATCGCATTCGAGTACTAGAGCATTTCTCAAGACCTTCCAGGTATTAACTTCAGCATTTGTCAGTCCTTGAAGGTATTAGCTTCAGTATTTCTCAGCAATTTTGAAGTCAAAACTTCAATATTTCTTAGCACTTCAGATATAAAACTTCAGTAGCTTGCAGAATCTTCAGGTATTAATATCACCGTTCGTCAGCACTTGCAGATTATTAACCTCTGAATTCTCCATCACTTTCCAGATATTAAAATCTGACCTATTATTTCCAGCTCTTGTGCTGCATTCTTCCCTGAATGATGGACTCACACCTTCAACATACTGAGAACATCCAGATTTTTATTCGAAATCTTGCACTGCACTCCCAGTTGGTTCTTACTATCTTCTGTCACTGTCCCATATCTTCACCTGTATCTTTATGAACTGCACTTCCCTGTTTCCTTTACCAACAGGTAGTTTTTTTCAATTCCAGCGTCGTTAAAAAGCATTTCTGACAAATTATTTTACCAGTTAATTTACCATTATCTTTGTGTCCCGCTACTTTGAGAATTCATAGAATTTACTCTGATAATTTGCGGAGTCTATAACCATTATCTTCTAACACCTAGTTTTCTTTATTTTTCCAGTGCTGTATTGCTGTTTAACGAGTGGTCCTTAATTTACAGCACTCTTCGGGCAACACCTTCACCGTCTCATTGTTTCTCAGGTAACATCTTGACCGTCTTGTTTCTCAGGCAACATCTCCACCGTCTTGTTTCTCAAGCAACATCTCCACCGTCTTGTTTCTCAAGCAACATCTTCACCGTCTCATTGTTTCTCAGGTAACATCTTGACCGTCTTGTTTCTCAGGCAACATTTCCACCGTCTTGTTTCTCAGGCAACATCTCCACCGTCTTGTTTCTCAAGCAACATCTTCACCGTCTTGTTTCTCAGGCAACATTTCCACCGTCTTGTTTCTCAGGCAACATCTCCACCGTCTTGTTTCTCAAGCAACATCTTCACCGTCTTGTTTCTCAGGCAACATTTCCACCGTCTTGTTTCTCAGGCAACATCTCCACCGTCTTTTCTCAAGCAACATCTTCACCGTCTTGTTTCTCAGGCAACATTTCCACCGTCTTGTTTCTCAGGCAACATCTCCACCGTCTTGTTTCTCAGGCAACATCTTCACCGTCTTGTTTCTCAGGCAACATCTCCACCGTCTTGTTTCTCAGGCAACGTCTCCACCGTCTTGTTTCTCAGGCAACATCTTCACCGTCTTGTTTCTCAGGCAACATCTCCACCGTCTTGTTTCTCAGGCAACGTCTCCACCGTCTTGTTTCTCAGGCAACATCGCCGTCTTGTTTCTCAGGCAACATCTCCACCGTCTTGTTTCTCAAGCAGCATCTACACCATCTTATTTCTCAAGCAACATCTTCACCGTCTTCTTCCTCAGGCAACATCTCCACCGTCTTGTTTCTCAGGCAACATCTCCACCGTCTTGTTTCTCAGGCAACATCTCCACCGTCTTGTTTCTCAGGCAACATCTCCACCGTCTTGTTTCTCCAGGCAACATCTCCACCGTCTTGTTTCTCAGGCAACATCTCCACCGTCTTGTTTCTCAGGCAACATCTCCACCGTCTTGTTTCTCAGGCAACATCTCCACCGTCTTGTTTCTCAGGCAACATCTCCACCGTCTCCTTGCTTCCCAGGCAACACCTTCACCATCTCCCTACCTCTTTACCATCTAGCCGTCCACCCTGGCCGCATCTTCATGACAAGTGTCTCTCCACGAACTCAGCCTCATGGAAGGAGGTTTCAGCAGAGTCTCTGTGGCTGTCGAATAAAAAGTAAGAGTATAAAAATCTATTTCAGTAAAAAAATAAAATTCACTGGGGAGGGAAGAGAGATGAGTTATTGTACATGTTATCAGTGACAGGGAAATGTACAACTAATATATTTGTTCACTCTTGCGTTTGATGGAATAAGCAAATACATTTCTGTAATATTAATGGTTATAAACTCTCCATGAGTCGTAATGAAGGACTGTCCATGAACAAAAAGAAGAATGGACCTGCTACATGTCAGAACCACGGTTCGAGTCCCAATGCATTCATCTATTTATTTATTATTAGCTAAGGTGAATAAATAACAAAAAGGCACAATACCGTGACTGGAACAATACACAAATAACCCGCACATAAAAGAGAGAAGCTTACGACGACGTTTCGGTCCGACTTGGACCATTGACAAAGTCACACAGTGTGACTTTGTCAATGGTCCAAGTCGGACCGAAACGTCATCGTAAGCTTCTCTCTTTTATGTGCGGGTTATTTGTGTATAGCTAAGGTGAATTACTGCACACAATATAATTGTTAAGGATAACTATTTCATATTGTGCCTCGCGCCTGACATTCTAGATTAAGTCATTTTTCTATTAAAATATTCCACTACAGACGTACAAGTTTCTCAGTTTCACGACAGAATTACAATTCATTTTGCTTGACTTTTTCTTAATAAAGATTATATGCGGAGGACATCTGTACATGGCAATACAGCTGTGGCTGCAGGTGTTCCCCTCACATTCTCTCAGGTGACTGCAGGTGTTCCCCTCACATTCTCTCAAGTGGCTGCAGGTGTTCCCCTCACATTCTCTCAAGTGCTGCAGGTGTTCCCCTCACATTCTCTCAAGTGGCTGCAGGTGTTCCCCTCACATTCTCTCAAGTGGCTGCAGGTGTTCCCCTCACATTCTCTCAAGTGGCTGCAGGTGTTCCCTTCACATTTTCTCAAGTGGCTGCAGGCGTTCCCCTCACATTCTCTCAAGCGGCTGCAGGTGTTCCCCCCACATTCTCTCAAGTGGCTGCAGGTGTTCCTCTCACATTCTCTCAAGTGGCTGCAGGTGTTCCCCTCACATTCTCTCAAGTGGCTGCACGTGTTCCCCTCATATTCTCTCAAGTGGCTGCAGGTGTTCGCCTCACATTTTCTCAAGTGGCTGCAGGTGTTCCCCTCACATTCTCTTAAGTGGTTGCAGGTGTTCCAGACACATTCTATTAAGTGGTTGCAGGTGTTCCCCACACATTCTCTTAAGTGGTTGCAGGTGTTCCTCACACATTCTCTTAAGTGGCTGCAGGTGTTCCCCTCACATTCTCTCAGGTGACTGCAGGTGTTCCCCTCACATTCTCTCAAGTGGCTGCAGGTGTTCCCCTCACTTCTCTCAGTGTGCTGCAGGTGTTCCCCTCACATTCTCTCAGGTGACTGCAGGTGTTCCCCTCACATTCTCTCAAGTGGCTGCAGGTGTTCCCCTCACTTTCTCTCAGGTGTCTGCAGGTGTTCCCCTCACATTCTCTGAAGTGGCTGCAGGTGTTCCCCTCACATTCTCTCAAGTGGCTGCAGGTGTTCCCCTCACATTCTCTCAAGTGGCTGCAGGTGTTCCCTCATATTCTCTCAAGTGGCTGAAGGTGTTCCCTTCACATTCTCTCAAATGGCTGCAGGTGTTCCCCCTCACTTTTTCTCAAGTGTCTGCAGGTGTTCCCTTCACATTCTCTCAGGTGGCTGCAGGTGTTCCCCTCACATTCTCTCAAGTGGTTGCAGGTGTTCCCCTCACATTCTCTCAGGTGACTGCAGGTGTTCCCTTCACATTCTCTCAAGTGCCTGCAGGTGTTCCCCCTCACTTTCTCTCAAGTGGCTGCAGTGTTCCCCTCACATTCTCCTCAGGTGCTGCAGGTGTTCCCTCAATTCTCTCAAGTGCTGAAGGTGTTCCCTTCACATTCTCTCAAATGGCTGCAGGTGTTCCCCCTCACTTTTTCTCAAGTGTCTGCAGGTGTTCCCTTCACTTTCTCTCAAGTGGCTGCAGGTGTTCCCCTCACATCTTCAAGGTTGCAGGTGTTCCCTCACATTCTCTCAAGTGGCTGCAGGTGTTCCCTCACATTCTCTCAAGTGGCTGCAGGTGTTCCCCTCACTTTCTCTCAAGTGTCTGCAGGTGTTCCCTTCACATTCTCTCAGGTGGCTGCAGGTGTTCCCCTCACATTCTCTCAAGTGTCTGCAGGTGTTCCCCTCACATTCAGGTGGCTGCAGGTGTTCCCCTCACATTCTCTCAAGTGTTGCAGGTGTTCCCTCACATTCTTCAAGTTGTGGCTGCAGGTGTTCCCCTCACATTCTCTCAAGTGTCTGCAGGTGTTCCCTTCACATTCTCTCAGGTGCCTGCAGGTGTTCCCCTCACATTCTCTAAAGTGGTTGCAGGTATTCCCCTCACATTCTCTCAGGTGACTGCAGGTGTTCCCCTCACATTCTCTCAAGTGGTTGCAGGTGTTCCCCTCACATTCTCTCAAGTGACTGCAGGTGTTCCCCTCACATTCTCTCAGGTGACTGCAGGTGTTCCCCTCACATTCTCTCAAGTTGTTGCAGGTGTTCCCTTCACATTCTCTCAAGTGGCTTGCAGGTGTTCCCCTCACATTCTCTCAGTTGTTGCAGGTGTTCCCTCACATTCTCTCAGGTGGCTGCAGGTGTTCCCCTCACATTCTCTCAAGTGGTTGCAGGTGTTCCCCTCACATTCTCTAAGGTGACTGCAGGTGTTCCCCTCACATTCTCTCAGGTGACTGCAGGTGTTCCCCTCACATTCTCTCAAGTTGTTGCAGGTGTTCCCTTCACATTCTCTCAGTGGCGCATGTTCCCTCACATTCTCTCAAGTGGCTTGCAGGTGTTCCCCTCACATTCTCTCAGGTGACTGCAGGTGTTCCCCCACATTCTCTCAGGTGATGCAGGTGTTCCCCTCACATTCTCTCAAGTGCTGCAGTGTTCCCTCACATTCTCTCAAGTGGCTGCAGGTGTTCCCCTCACATTCTCTCAGTTGTTGCAGGTGTTCCCTCTTCTCTAAGTGGCGCAGTGTTCCCTCACATTCTCTCAAGTGGCTGCAGGTGTTCCCCCTCACTTTCTCTCAAGTGTCGCAGGTGTTCCCTCACATTCTCTCAGTGTCGCCGGTGTTCCCCTCACATTCTCTCAAGTGGTTGCAGTGTTCCCCTCACATTCTTCAGGTGGCTGCAGGGTTCCCCTCACATTCTCTCAAGTGTCTGAGGTGTTCCCTCACATTCTCTCAGGTGCTGCGGTGTCCCACTCACAAAATTCTCCAAGGCTGAGAGTGTTTCCCTTCACATTCTCTCGGGTGGGTGCAGGTGTTCCCCTCAACATTCTGCAAGTGTCTGCAGGTGTTCCTTCACATCTCTCAGTGGCTGCAGTGTTCCCCTCACATTTCTCAGGTGACTGCAGGTGTCCCTCACATTCTCTAAGTGGTTGCAGTGTTCCCTCACATTCTCTCAAGTGTCGCAGTGTTCCTCTCACATTCTCCAATGCTGCAGTGTTCCCCACACTTTCTCTCATGTCCCCCTGTCAGGTGTTCCCTTCACATTCTCTCGGTGCTGCAGGTGTTCCCCACATTCTCTCAAGTGTGCAGGTGTTCCCTCACATTCTCTTATGTGCAGTGTCCCCTCACATTCACTCAGTGTCTGCAGGTGTTCACTTCACATTCTACTCAGTGCTGCAGTGTTCCCCCACATTCTCTCAATGATCCTCAGTGTTCTCATCACATTCTCTCGGTGCTGCATGTTTCCCCTCACATGCTGCCAAGTTCTGCAGGTGTTCTCTTCATTCTCTCAAGTGGCTGCAGGTGTTCCCTCACATTCTCTCAGCAACTTCCTGCAGTGTTCCCCTCACATTCTCTCAGTTGTCGCAGGTGTTCCCCCACATTCTCACAAGTTGTCGCAGGTGTACCCGTCACATTCTCAAGTTGTTGCAGGTGTTCCCCACATCTCTCAAGTGTGCAGGAGTTCCCCACATTTCTCAATTGTGCAGGTGTTCACCCACATTCTCTCAGTTGTTGCAGGTGTCCTCACATCTCTCAGTGATGCAGGTGTCCTACACATTCTCTCAGTTGTTGCAGGTGTTCCCTTCACATTCTCTCAAGTGGCTTCAGGTGTTCCCCCACATTCTCTCAGGTGCTGCAGGTGTTCCTCCACATTCTCTCAGTTTCGCAGTGTTCCCGTCACATTCTCTCAAGTTTTGGAGGTGTTCCCCTCACATCTCTTATGCAGTACATTCTCAGCTCCACCTCATTGCTCCAATACATACAAATTGTCTGCATAGGCCTAGGAGAGTATTCCCAAATAAGAATGAATTTCTCTTTCGATAACATTACGAAGCATTTCTGTGTGGCTACACACTCTCTGCATGACCATACATTCTCTGCATGACCACACACTCTCTGCATGACCACACATTCTCTGCATGACCACACATTCTCTGCATGACCACACACTCTCTGCATGACCACACATTCTCTGCATGACCACACACTCTCTGCATGACCACACATTCTCTGCATGACCACACACTCTCTGCATGACCACACACTCTCTGCATGACCACACTCTGCATGACCACACATTCCCTGCGTGACGACACATTCCCTGCATGACCACACACTCTCTGCATGACCACACATTCTCTGCATGCCACACATTCTCTGCATGACCATACATTCTCTGCATGACCACACATTCTCTGCATGAAACACATTCTCTGCATGACCACACACTCTCTGCATGACCACACATCCCCTGCATGACCACACATTCCCTGCATGACCACACATTCTCTGCATGACCACACATTCTCTGCATGACCACAATTCTCTGCATGACCACACACTCTCTGCATGACCACACATTCTCTGCATGACCACACACTCTCTGCATGACCACACATTCCCTGCATGACCACACACTCTCTGCATGACCACACTCTCTGCATGACCACACACTCTCTGCATGACCACACATTCTCTG